TGGGCGCCCTCCGGCCAGATGGACCGATGACTTAAAAAAGGCGGCTGGTAGCGACTGGATGGCAAAAACGGGAGATCGTGCCTTATGGCGTTCCCTGGGGGAGGCCTACGTCCAGCAGTGGACTGCAATAGGCTGAAATAGAATAGAATAGAAAGGAAAAATGAAAATGATACGAAAAAATTGTAGATAGTGCCCTCGCGCTTCACGTGTCTCGTCTTGGCGGGGAAACTGTAGTGCAACCAGATTTTCCGATGACATATCATCACATCACCACGTTTGTCACATTTTTAAAGGCCGTCGCAGAAAATTCGTGTATTACTATAGTGACACGTTGTTAGCCTTTCGCCCTTTGTAATACATGGAACCCTTGAGTCCCTTAGTAGCCTCCTACGACACCCGCGGGAAAGCATATTCTAAAAAAATAATAATAATATAGACGTTCAAAAAATTCAACTTAATGGGAATTCAACTTTATGGTCCGGAAGGGATATTTTAACGTATCTACACATTCATAACCCCCCACTAGGACTCCCTGTCACGAGGAAACGGGGTGGACATAAAGTGCACAGAAACATCGCAAAGAACACCTATTGCACAGACACATCGCAAAGAACACCTATACTCGGGGACAGAACAGATACTTAGTTTCATACGGATCATTATTATTTTCGTCGATATTATCTCAAAATCCCATCTCTATTATCGTATGTATCGATGTTACTATCGTACATCCCTAATGTACGTTTACTTTCCGTAACCCGCCCCCCATCCCGATTGTGCGATAGGGACAGTAGCAGGCTTCCTGAGAAATTCTCTCGAAAACAGGGCAAAATCGAGGTACGGGCGTTAACGTTTTACTACCCCTAAACTTCAACCGAATCCTATAATTTTGGTCTTAATCGCTTAGGTATGAATTGAACTAGGTTCGTACGTTTAGTTTTTAACCAAATTCTCTATAGTTTTAAAATTAAACGTGCTCAAACATGAACAACTTTCATAACCGAAAAAGTGTACTTTGGGACCTTATTATTTCGGAAAGTATTATTAATATCAAAAAAAGAAAAACGTATAAACCTAGTTTTTGTTAGTCTTAATAAAATATCAAAAAATCAAATCCATTGGTTACCGATAAATATGATAAAAACGTTAACGCTTTTTGTATGAAAATTTACAGCTAAACGATCCTCTTAATCTAATGACAGCGACAATCATTGTCATTCTATTTCCACTGCGATTTTAATACTAAAAACTGTTAGCAGAGTAGGTAACTACAAAAACCATTATTCAACTGCCATGCCGTCGACCATAAACACACAATTGAAACCATTTTCATTTAACAGAATTCGGGCCCTGGTAATTCAGATACTTTGAAAATAACATCAAAGATTGTAAGTGCTCGTATCATCTGCAATCTTAGGCGATTTACACACTTAAAACGTCCGTTTCGACGTTATTTTTGCGCTGCGTAACGCATGCATTCGGACAATACCTTATTTTCAAACGAATATGGTTTATGTTTAAGTGAAATTGTTTGACAAATATATTTTTATATTTTTGCGCTAACGGTGGCGTCTGTCACACCGTTTCTAATTGTATGAAAATAATGCGGAAAATCGTATTTTTCAAACGTAATGGATAGCGTTGCGCAAAAATAACGGAAGTTTTGTGTGTAAAGCGCCTAAAATTCAGCGACAGTACAAATTCCGACCTTCTGACGTACTTTGGCGTATTTACTGCTTCCGCAAAATTCTAACAACAACTTGTTCTACAAATTCAAACAACAACGAACATTAGGTGCGTTTACATTATAACACGGAGTTTATTCATTTGAGACACGCTCCGTGATGAAGTGATACGAGAACAAAAGCAATTTAAGTTTCCCGATTATCTACGTATGTCCTCAGGGAAAATCACAACACAAACATTCCTTTCTTTTTCTTTTCAATATTTTTGCCGCGTGATGTCACACAATTTAGAAAAACGGCGCGCGGGCGCCTTTACCAGATGGCTTACTCAGTACTAACGAAGATTTTGACGCTAACTGACGAAAACTGAAAGAAACCGGAATCTCAGGGGAAGTCAAGGTAAATAAGAAAGTGGTTGACACGAATGTCATATTTATTGGATTTAAAATTGGCTCAGAATCATATGACGTTCTATAATAGATTTCGTTTTTTTGATATTTTTAAACTTTATATACACGGATATTAAATTGATTTAGTTTATTATTTTGAAAACCTTTGAGTTTTTATCTATGCATAGCAACACCCCATATCCACCCGTAGAAGTAGTAAACCAAGAGAACCAGAATTACATGTGAATGCATCACGTTTCGTCTGAGTTCAATTTAAGTTTTCCGATTATCTACGTTCCTACGGACTTAATGGGGTCAGAATTTGGGTTGGCCAAGAATTTTCTTTTGAAGAAGTATCTACTTATGTTTTCATCTCGATACTCCTTTTTTGTTGTCATATGGTGTCAGCAGCATCCCAAGAATGGGCAGCAGCTTTCCTTGTAACTGCCGCATAATGGTAGGCTTAAAAACCAAGCGACAGCGAAAACAACGCGCGTCGTTGTCGCTGTCAAATGACTGGTTTGTATGGGGAACCAGAAAAACCGAGCGTCGGCGTCGTTGCGGCGCGCCACGACGCCGTCAAGTTGACAGCGCGCTGAGAAGCTTCGAGTTTGTATGGGATGCGGTCGGGTTTTTCTACAAGACCGCAGCGACAACGACGCCGTCAAAATTTGACGCTTGGAAAATTATTAATAAATAATAATAATAATAAGGGTACCATTATACACATAACGACGTTTAATCTCATACAAATATGGTTAATGTAAAATTGTTTGACAAATGCTTCTGTCGAAGCAGCGTTGTACGATATTTTTGCGCTAACAGTAAGAGATGCGTCCGTCAAACCGTTTCACATAAACCGTATTGAGGTGAAATATCGTATTTTTCAAACGCAACGGATAGCGATGCGCAAAAATACCGCACAAACGGACGTTACATATCTAAAATATTTTGACACAGGGACTACATACGGCGCAACAACCCTCTATATTTATAAATGTTGGGTTTACCTATTGCAACAAAACAGTCCTGTTTCAAGTTTCAAGCAATATTCTCCCTCATTTCATTTATTTTCTTCCTTTTGCTGAACATTCAATATTTCACAGAATGCATTGCACTGTTTATGAAGAATTCCATTTCATATTGGTATTGTGAAGGCGGCTGGCGGTCGACAATTTATCGACGGACAAATACACAAACGGTACACAGTTGTGCACTTATGTTATTAGTTTTCAGGAAATGAAAAGTGCTTTTGTGTCGAGGGAGTAGAAATGCTGGGCGTCGATGTCCGCGAATGCTTTGGATGAAAATTTTGGATGGCATATCTTAATACTGGCTGAATAGTGCATATGTCGCAGGGATTTAGTCAAAGACGTTATATTATAATTTCACTAGTGAAATTGTAATTACACTGATTATTGTCAATAACAACAGATTCGTATAATTTCACAGGCTTATTTCAGTGATATTGTAATTTCACTGGACCGCAAAAGTGATATTATAATAAATCTAGGTTTATTATGAGTTATGATTGTGGTGGGAGCTCCGCGTGCTCTGATTGGTCAAGACTTAAACAGTCGCCATTTGCAAAATATTTGTTGTAAATATTGGAGCGTGGTTAAATATTTTTGGTGTTTTTGAGGTAATTACTTTAAAATTATAGCCAATATCTTCGCAATGAGTGATCATGAACATTTGGAAGTGTTACTATCGTCAGATTTATCTCATTCAAGTGACATTATACAGTTTTATCACATTTAAATGGATTTTGAACTATTAGGTGACAAAAACATAATAAATAACAAATCAAAGGTAGAGAATGTCTGAAAACTAGTAAGGATAAAGCTATTATTAAAATACTATAATAATTGTTCAATTTAGTGTAGTTAAGTGTTATAACATTTCAGTTTAATTTGATTATTATATTTAGAAAAATAGATAGTAACTATATAAAGGTTAAAATAAAATCAAAAAGAAATAATTTTCAAAAATCTGTTTTTTACTTCCATTTAAGAGATATTTTATTTGCTTAAAACCTATTTGTAGCTAATGTTGGTAATGAATGCGGACCAATCAGCGATCGGTCTGATAATACCAGTGCTATTGTCAATACATCACTGCCTTACAATTTCACTGTATCGCGGTCTAGTGAAATTATAATGTCACTGAAACTAACCCGTTAAATTGTAAGTAGTGCAAACGATTGACAATACATCAGTGCAATTATAATGGCACTTGTGAAATTACAATATCACGGCTTTTTTAATATATATCAATGCGTATTAGTATAAATCAATGCGTAATATACAAACGAAAATTTGACTGCGGTAATTTCAAATTTGTATTTTGCGATAAAAATACCGACATCTTGAATTTGACTTTTCTTGTGTCCACGGGCAGGCAGATAGATGTCAAAAAAGTAAAGAAAAGTCATTAAAGTGATGAAATAATTGACAGTTTGGGCGGTTCTCACGTCTACTCACGTTTTCGGGAGTGTTGCCGGACCCGACGAAATGATTATAATATGAAATCATAAAAAATATTTACGAAGGCCCCAGTTGCATTGTTGGATCATAGTTGTGACAGGTTTTCATTTATATATATGTCACTAACCTGTATGTCCGGTAAATGTGTCAATGTGTCAATCGCCTACATTGTCTGTCTGTCTTCGTGTGGGACACCGAGTCGTTCAACGATCTGATGAACCCTGGTGTCAGAGTTTTTCAACGGCCTACTGCAAGTAGCAGGCTTCTGACATGTTTGTGTAACGACCGCCATCATAGACAGCAACCGGGACCGACGGTTTAACGTGCCCATCCGAAGCACGGAACCATCTTGTTTTTCGGACAATCAGGTTGGTTCAGCCTGCAATGTCCTAACCAGACTGGGAACAAATTCACAAAGTGATAAATATTAACTTTGTGAGTGACCCCACCGGGAATTGAACCCGGAACCTTCTGCGTGGCAGGCAGATGACTGCCTAACCTCTGCACCACATCGAATGTCATCATCTACATTATAGCAATCGTCTACATTATACCAATCTCAATCAAAGCAAAGCAACACAATACTACGCACCACCATCCACCATTAACATTAACTAACCATTAGACCGATCATTAGATTAATGAGACGTGCCCGTAGCCGTACATTTTAACTAGGCTAACGATGCCTAGTTAAACGGCCTACGACGACGGTATCATCATCATCTTCCTGCCCTTATCCCAATTACTTGGGGTCAGCGCAACACATTTCGTTGAACACAAAATCGTGTTGCAAAAGGATTTGGCTGAATTTTACGACCGGCCGCCTACCAGACGTCAACCCTCCTTGGGAATGCTTTTGTGGTGGATTAACCGCCACCCTACGGTTGGCCCTGGCTGTTTGGGTCGGGTTATCCCTCGGTCGCCTCTTACGACCCCCACTGGAAGAGAAGGGGTGGTGCTATTCTACTCTGCCGGCACCACACGGCACGGTATACAATGAGTAACAAAACGACAATTACAAACAAAATGAGGTCAAGATGTGGTCAAGGTAGTCATGAAAAAGCATTTTCTCCAAGAAACATAGATTTAAATCATTAACTTTACTAACCATTAGACCGATCATTAGATTAATGAGATGTGCCTACAGTCGTACATTTTAACTAGGCATCGTTAAGGCCTACGACGGTATACAATGTGTAACAAAATGGCTGTTACATTACAAAAAAAATAGGTCAAGATGCTCATGAAACTGATAAATTTTCCCCAAGTAACATAGATTTAAATCATTACCTTTACTAACCACTAGCTGCCCGTCAGCGGTTTCACTCGCTGCAACTTATTATTCCGCGGGAAAAAAGCATTACCAACTCGCCAAGAGATGTCGCTGTTACTTTTCGGCGAAAACGTTTAAAACGCGAATCGGCCCAGTCACGCCACCTTTGCAAAAATATTGGAATGTGCGTGATCCCGAAGGAATAAGACATTTCCCGTGGTAAAAAGTAGCCTATGTGTTAATCTAGATACTCTTCTATATTTGTGCAAAATTTCATGTCAATCTAATCAGCCGTTTTAGCGTGATGTCGTAACAAACACACACACACAAACATCCGCCTTTATAATATTAGTAGCAGTAGCATTAGACCGATCATTAGATTATTAACTAGGCATGGTTAAGGCCTACGGCATACAATGAGTAACAAAACGACAATTACAAACAAAATGAGGTCAAGATGTGGTCAACGTAGTCATGAAAAAGCATTTTCTCCAAGAAACATAGATTTAAATCATTAACTTTACTAATCATTAGACCGATCATTAGATTAATGAGATGTGCCCGTAGTCGTACATTTTAACTAGGCATCGTTAAGGCCTACGACGGTATACAATGTGTAACAAAAGGGCTGTTACATTAGAAACAAAATGAGGTCAAGATGTGGTCAAGGTACTCATGAAACTGAACAATATTCCATAAGATAGATAGGTTTTAATTGTTACAAAAATATTTTTTCGGCAACCTATCATTTTAGGCCTGCCTTAACCATACAATATCTCGAAATTTGGCTCGATTAGTAACTGCTTCTTCTTTGTATTAATTAGGGGTTGTTCAGTTTCATGTCTTGAGCACCTTTGATTCCTTTAGTAAAAGAGAGATGGTTCCGTTCTTTGACGGAATGTAAGTCATCGGTCCTGGTTGCTGTCTATGATTACTTAGACGGCGGTCGTTCCAAAAAACCATGTCAGATGCCTATAGCACCTAGCTGTAGTAGGCGGTATATAAACTCTGACAAGAGTGTTCATCGAGTCATTACTCAACTCTATGTCTCACACGAAGATGAAGTAGACTTTTAAATACTCTTTTTGTAACATCTTGTATAATTACTTAGGCCTCTGAGCCATTTGCCGGCAATTTTCTTTGTTTTTATTTTGCGGGTAGACCGTTAGGATCGGTGGCAATTTGATAATTAAGTCATTAGCGCTAATTGTTTTCTAAGCATTGTTTCCTTTTAAATAGCAGAATCTACAAAAAACACTACACAAGTAGACAAGAAACATACCCATAGGTACACGTTTTAAAATGTAATGTAATAGACTGGAATGGAATGGAAAAGTTAATAACAAATTAACAAACATAGCAAATAAAATAAAACAAAGTAAGTTAGGTAGGTATCATACATTATTATAGGTAGTTTTAAACTAAAATGCATAGCTAAAATGCACTAGAAGTTTCACAGTGAAAAGATATCCACTGCAAAGAAGGTATTTCAGCTTTAGTAGATATTTCGATTCGGGATTCACAAAATCATGCGATACCTAACCTATCCCTATAATTTTCAGTGCAATTACAGACTACTATCTTTGGATCAAAGTCTAATTTGGCTACTTTTTAATAGTAGAGACAAAATGAACAGTAATTTATACAACTTCATGTTGCACGTTTAACTTTAGACAAAGGCAACTGCACAACAATTTTCAGTGAGCTGCTCTCTGTAACACAAGGAAGTGGGATTATAATTCACAAAGAAAAGTTTCTGTTGTACCACGACCGCTTGGCTCCAGACCACTAAATATTGTGCTAGTTTAAAATAGGAGGGACTTTATCAGCAGCCACATAGTCTGGAAAAGTGGCATGAAAGTTGCTGTACCTGTACTAGTATTCTGTGCTGTGGGCTGAGTGCATCTGTGTTAGATTCGACGGAAGATGAGTTCTCGAAGGTAGAAAACCTCTGACACCAGGGTTCATCGGGTCATTTGACAACTTGGTGTCCCTCTCAAAGAAGATGAGGGAGGCCACGCCCTGGCAATTGTATTGTAGTGTTTGGACGTCTTCTTTTTAGCAGATGGACCGATGACTCAAGAGGCGGCTGGTAGTGGCAGTAAGACCAAACCTATGGTGTAAAGGGGGCCTTTCGTCCAACAGTGAATTGAACGACTGTTACCGTGGTTTTATTTCTATTCCAACAGACTCCACCCGCAGGTGAAGTTCAAAACAAAAGCAAAAATAAATAAAAAGTTCTTGTCCACCCTTATTTGCTTGAGGTATCACTTCTGAAAGTTTTTAGGGTACCGCATGCTTGGCGAAATGGAAAGACGATCGGTGATCATAAACTGTTAAGAGTGGTTCTTCTTCTGGCGTGTAAGCTACCAAATTAGAAGACCCGACGAACCCTGGCCTCAGAGTTTCAACCGCCTTGTTACTAGTAAAACGCTTTGCAACTGCCGCTAGCTTAGTTTTCTCGCAGAGGTTTAGTCAGGGTTTTATAAATCGCCTGTTAGTCAGAGTTTTCGACATCCAAATAGCCTGCGACTTGGCTAAACGACCACCATCTGGTATAACCATCCGGTGGTAACACAGATTTCTTGCCTCCTAAAATAATGTAGGTACGATGAGCACCTTCTTATACAGCCCGTTCGATACCGTTATATTTTATCAGTAACTATAGGGTACCTAGTTATGCCTAGAATAGGATGGATCTGGGTATCTAACACGCTTATTTTCGACAGCTTTCCGCAGGCTTGTTTTGTATGGAAATCCATTCCGCAGGCTTTTCGTTCCAGTTTCGTCCCAAGCCCTAACGAGATGTCAAATAGAGTTTGACAAGTAATTTTTATAGAAAACATGCAACGTCATCGGATTTTTTGTTCCTTTCTACGATTATTTTGACACTTTGTCTATGCTGTATCGAGCTATGACAACCGTATGTTCGACACTGCTCGACAACGAGCAGTCTCCACTATCGGCACCAGTATGCAAAAACTATTTGATCTGATGGTTGGTCATTTTACTGTAGATTCTTCACGTCGAATATGATTAAGTAATGATGGGTCAAAAATTGCTACAGGCCGCGGATCATTATTATAACGCAACGCTAAATCTTGCGGTTCTTGACAGCCAACAGTCAAATTACACCATTATGACAACTTGATGCGGCGACGTGTGCGTATTCGGTTTTTGTGTATGTTAAACTTAATTTGCCAAATTTCGGAGCCTGTAAACGATGAAAAATTACATGATGCGTGTAAGAAAAAATCGCTTTTTAGAATATTAGGCATAGATAGATGAACTCTAACACCAGGGTTCATTGAGACGTTTGTCGACTCGGTATCCCACACTAGAAGAAGATTGCCTCCTTCTTTGAAGATGTGTAAAAATGCCTTCTGTAGCTTGATCATTAATATAACGTAGAGTCGGTCTATCGAGCAAGTGTGTCAAATGCCTTCTATGATGGGTAGACATTTATTTATAAGAGTAAATGTTTTTCTACCGGGAGAGAAATTGTGTGTTAGGAAAGGCAAAAAATGTTTTGAAATATTTAACTATCACGATCTCATTTGTTTCGAAAAATCACACGGTGCTTCGAAGTGCATTACAATAAGAGTATATTACAGAAGTATCTCATAAAAAAGCGGCCAAGAGCGTGTCAGACACGCCTACAAATAGGGTTTCGTAGTCAACGTTTAAATATCAGGTTTTTCAGAGTTACAAACTTAATTTTGTTGCTGGTTTGTTTGCATTTGTATGGTTACCGACCGCAAATTGAAAAACTTTTATTTCTCTTAAATTTTTAGTGATACAGTATCCGTTATAATTTTCATGGTAATTTCAGATTGAAAAGTATATTCCATATTTTTTTCTATTTTTTTGCGTAAAAGTATAACTTTAGGAGTTACAGCTGGAACAAATTATGGCTCAAAAACGCCCCTTTTAAAAGCAAATATCTGGAGACAGAAATATTTTAGTGACTTTGTTTCAAAGAAACCTCCCCTTAGTTTCAAAAGACCTATTTAACGATACCCTACTCAATATTATAGAAGTTTTATTTTTATTTTGCCCCCTTTCACTTGTATGGGAGGATTGGGAGGGGGTCCAAAAAACAATTAAAATATTTTTTTCTCAACATTTCTAAGTTTGGGTCAACACGAATTATCTTCACACCAAATTTCATGTTGATAGCTTTAAAACTGACGGAGTTATGAGGGCGCGGCATACAGACAGACAGACAGACAGACTTGAC